CCCTAATCAATGAGTAGAGGAAGGCGCGAGTATAGTACTATAGCCCCGCCTTCAACGATATGTGGGCCTCCAAGTGCGTCAAGCTTATTAGTGGGTATTCCACACCTCAACTTGTATGTCATCTCACATTTGTGGTATTGCTCGTCAAACCTCTTTCACTCCCATTCTATTCTCAGCCCTTTACCCTCGCACAACGGTCCTAGAAACCTCTCGAACCCAATCTACAATCAAACTCAAACGAGTCACCATATCACCAATAGACCGTCAAATAGCCCCTGCCAAAGAATCTGATATCAGGAAGCCAATCGACAAGAGCGCATTTCACGTACCTATCCGCGCCAAATTCTCTCCACTGCTGGTGGCTAGAACACGGCCCGTTGGATGTATGTCACAACTGTTGGAAGGGTATGTGAGTGGTAGAATTGGCAAGTCAATGTGTGGTTGATATACCCAAGAAGAACGATTCTACGCTGTAATTCGGCAGCCGACGGTAAGAGAGGCGACCCCTGAACCGAACGGCGGAACCTAGAACTGTAGGTCTCATCCCAATCTGTCTCAAGATGCGTTGGTTGCGCTTCAATCGGAGAAGCGACTAGTCGCTGGACGATTTGTGCGGCTGTGGGACGCGAAACGGCGTCGTAGTTCCAGCAGACTTCCATTAATTCCCAAAGGCTGCTGTGGACCGGAGTTGCCGGCCAAGGGATTGGTCGTTTGGGTTGGGCTTTGTCAATCACCACGGCGAACACGATAGCGTGCTCCATCACATCGTAGAATGGGACTTTTCCCGATAGTATCTGCTCAGGTGAATAGGCTTGCAGACCCTGGAAAGATGTTGCACGTGCCTCGTAACAGACGCAAGCGAATGCATAAACGTCTGACCCAAAATGATTCGATCTACTTCCACGCAGGATTTCGGGAGCCTGCCAGCGGAGGGTGCCTTGTGCATTTTTTGCAGTGGAATGAGTGAATTGGATTGTCATCACGTTGACAATCGAGGCCAGGCCAAAATCTGCGATACACGCTCGGCCAGAAGGGGTCATCAAAATGTTCGCCTGCCAATCATCGATAAATGGGACTCAAAAATGACTTTCAAGTGAGCGATTGAGCTCACCCCCTTGAGATCGCCATGGACAATAGATTCACCGTGCAGATACTCCAGTCCCATGGCTATATCCAGGATCTTGGATACCATACAATTTAGTTCAAATCTCAACGAATACTCCGTGGCACTCACAAGGGCCACATGGTCGACCTCCCAGAGCGGGTTTTTCAAGAATCCTACAATGTGCCCCGTGTCCATCCAGGGTGAGATGAGACAGAGGCGATTTTCCAGATAATATAGGCCAAAGAATGGTAATACATTCGGGTGTGAGAGTTGACGCCAGATGAGAGCTTCACGTCCGAATTCCTGTAACTATAGTGAAATGATTCGAACCACGAATCATTTAATGCATGCTGACCTTCAGAGTAGCTTTCACATCCTCGGCCTGGAAAATCCGCATGGCCTTCACTGCGACATAGTTGTGTTTGACCAAACCCTTCCAGATATCACCAAAAGCTCCCGCCGCAACCTGGTCACCCACTCTCTCCAATTTTGATAGAGAAAAACATCTTGGATGATGCCCGGACACACGTGAAAGCCTGATCAGGGCTTTGGAAAGCAAAGGTCTATATTTCGGATCACAGGGAGAGTCGAGAAGCTGATTGTCCTGAGTCAGTATGATTCATGGGAAATGACACGCGACACACATCCTGAATAAGATCGAGAAGTTCTTGAGCAAGAGCGCCACGCAATTCCAAAATGGTTTTGTATGTCTCTGGGTCAGACAAAAGCGACGCAATTTTGCGGAAAACCGCAGAGGCGTCTTGAGACATTGCTGTCGAGATTCGGGCCGCTATATGTACTTCCACCGGGAAATCGAGTATTGGCGAGTCCTGCAACCAAGACATATTAACCCAGAGCAGAGAAATATCATCGATGACCTTGTCTCCCATATATGCGAGCAAACTTTCGACAACGACATGATAATTCGCAAGGCTGGAGAATATGTCCCGCGTGGTCCACTGGCTCGACAATTCTAGGAGTCGTTCGTACGTTAGACTGGAATCTAGAGGTCAAAGTCTCCGAATGCTATGAGCGAAGACACGACACACTCATATCGGAGTCCGAGATCCAGCACGCATGAAACAAGGTTCTATCGGATTCTTAGTTGAAGCGAGAACAGAACAAAAATTCCTCGGCCATTGGGCTCACCCGGTGAATATCCAGCCAAGGTCCGTCCATATCGTCCAACTGCCCGCATGTAAGCGCGTAATCGACACAAAAGAGAAGGCACCCACAGCTTTTTCCGTGATATTTTTTTTGATGCCAGTGCGCATAATAAAGTCGGACAACGAGGGCTTTTTGGATGGCTCCCTTGGTGGTGTCGGATTCTGCGAAGCCTTCTCTTCATCTCGCTTTTTCCTTCTTTGGAGCCATAATTTTACGCCAGGCAGAGGCATAGGCGTTTTGGAGTTCATAGTATGGACTTGAGAAGAGACTCCTGTGCAAGTTTGCCGCAGCAACGTGTTTTCGAGGCGTCGTGCGGACTTTGTGTGGACGCCCAAAATAGCGGGAGCCTGATTGACATGAAGTCACGGACAAGACCAGTGCCGTCAAGCCGGATCGAGCGAGAAAGAGTCACAAGGGACTAGTCCATCACATTTGATCGAGTCGCATCGAGCGGTTACAAACAAGAGGCGAGCGATCTCCTGCGATCTCTGGATCGTGGAAGTTGATCTGTCCACGTGAGTGGCGCTGCCGTAATTTGGATACTTATCAGTCGGGACGGTGCAGTACTATTCTGTAGTATTCACAAAGTTTTCCATTTGAACTGTTGCAGATTGCCAATGAGACACGCGGGGAATGGTAGCAGCGACGCGTCGAGCGCGTAGGTGCAGGCGAGCGGCAGGTGGAGGCAGCTGATGGCCGAGACGACGCCGCTGACTCAGAATTCCCTTATTCGGGGGTAGGTACCCCGTGGGAATTTATCCATGATAAGGAGATCGCTCGCCTCTTGGTTACAAATTGAAAATATTTCTCTCCACTCTCCCTCGATATCCCTCGTGCAATTTCCTATGAATTCCTGTGCTTTGTCGAATCAATTATCGTTGTCATCAGTTCGTGTGATCACAAAATCTGTCGACGACTCGACTCGGGCGCGCGTCGAAATTTCTCCATTAATGTCTGTCTGGGCCTCTCCTCCAGTTAACGCCTAAAACTGCAATTATGGAAGTCGAGGTTCATTGATGTGAATCTTTCGGCCTGCATGCACAGTGTCGACGTTAGATCGTTAATTCGACTTGAAACCCCTTTAGTGGTTGGCATCAAGAAGTCCGATGAGGCGCGACCAAAGTTGTAGAAGTATAGAAGTGACTTCTACTTCTACTTGTTCCGTTTAGTCGAAGTCGAAGTCACTTCTACTTCTTCACTTCCACTGGTCCATGTCACATCATTATTCCGCTGCCCGTCTAATATTATCCTTATCCTTATCCGTCCACAACATTACCCTTATGCCACCTACTTTTAAGATATTAAAGTGGCGTATTGCCGCATCAATTAAACCCACACAATTTACAATAAGCATTTGATATCCTACATAAAGAAATAACGTTAACAATAGATATCCTTGACCTCTGGCGATGCCAGAACATGTAATGAAATAATGACAGTGGGAGCAGATTTGCCGAGAACTCACAGTTGCGGGCCGCAAGGCACCTGACAATATCAATTTCCGGTCACAGGCAACGGGGGCGCGAAAAATCGGGATAGTTGGAGCCTGAAGAGAAAGAGATGGCAGCAAAAGTTAACAATCAAACCAAACACACAATGTGCTTGCTCATTTCCGAATTGGGAACACATCAATGCGCGCCCCGGCGCATTAATAGTGGTATGTCACTTTTACCACTGCAGAGTTCCACTTCTACTAACCCACCTCAACTTTCACTTACTCACTTCTACTTCTACAACTTCTGTACATACTCAAGTCCGATGTGGTCACTCAGCTAAGTACGATGATTCGGATGAACGATTTTCGGCACAGAGACCACCCATACATCTTGTCGAATGGTTATTACATAAATTGATTGGATGATTGAAAATATTCTGGAGCTACTCTGATCAAAACTTTGCACCCACTTTTGAAAATTTTGCAGAAAATATCAGGCTGACAGAATAATTTTCTGAAAATACCGGAAATTTTCTGGGCTTGTTATATTACAGTAATTGGCACCCTGGACTGGATATGAGGTGTCAAGAAATCTCAAACAAATGAGTGAAAATATCTCAGGTTTCACAAATTGAGCTATTTTGTCGAAACTTTCCACACATTTTTGAGGAAAATATCGAAGCTGACAAGAAAATTTCCAGAAGATACCGTATAATTCCTGGAGAGGTTTTCCCTGATGGATGACGGTTGAACATCCGGGTTGCATTCCGGCCCTTCGCTTCCGGCGCGCCGCGCACGGGCCAGTCGTGTCCGTCCGTCGTGTAGTGCAACTGTACGTGGAATCGGCGGTGAAACTTCAAACCAAGTACGAGCCGACCTCTTGGACCCGGGCCCATACGTGTAGTACTTACGGCACTTGGCCGCCCTCGGCGCATCAGCCAATGCCAAACTTCTCTATACCGGTGGGTCCTATACTCACTTGCACACTGTTTTAAGTGCTCGATCTGTATCCCAGCCTGAACTTGAATATTTCCGGTGCTACACCTCCTGCTCAGCGCACAGCCCGCACTAGTACGCTGACTTCGGCCCGGCGTTCGCCATTGTCTATGATTCGGACGATAAGGGAATGCACGGCCGCGGACACCGGCTTCAACGTGAACCCCACGCATCGTCATCACGTGTACCAGCCCAGCCTAGGCGGCCAGCACGCTTTAAATTTTGTGTATTCTCTTTGCTGTTACAGTAAATCGCAAGGGAAGACCAAAAAAAAGATAATTGGCATCATCATAAATACTCTCAACCTGGGAGTCGAACCCAGTTTCGCGCGCTTCGAATTGATCGAAGACAAACGACGAGCGCGTGCACTAAACCGATATACTAGTCGGGAGCGATTGCATTACTGTCACGAGGATTTATGTTATGGCAACCAGTAGCATGCTCCCGATGCGCGTACTTGTGTAAATACAATGTACATTCCAAGGCTCAAAACAGAAAGTTGCCACTCGTGGCGCCAGATTTTGTAGGCGCACCGCATTGTTAACGTTCCTGGTACCGAGAATTGGTTAGTTTGTAATTCCGCCTGAATGCCATTCCCTACTAGTACTGTAGCGATGAATTTCGGATCGCCTGCAGACCTGTAGTTCTTACGCAGAATAAATATACTTATGTGGCAACTGTGGTTTGCCTCCGTGTTCTGGATGAGGTTCCCGGGCCTTAGAATTTATTATGTTAAACTGGTTTACAAAAACCTGTTCTATTTATATATAAACGGTCCCGCCAACTGATCAGGTTAGCTGGATGTCTGCTGCGCCCGCCCACGACGGCCTGGCGAAACCCCTCACGACCTGACAATTGACATTTTGCATATCTACCAACTATTTACATACCTCGCATCTGTACTTACTACCGCATATCTCGTATCTCTTTCTCTCTCTGGGTCGCATTCTGCACAACGTGAATGAACGGTGGGTTATTGGTTATGCGCGCGACCCACGACTGGCGTGGCAGTGCCAATAATGGCGGTGGTTCATTAATTTGTTGCCATGGCCACGGCGGTTCATCCGCTCAAGCTCAACCGCAGAGTTCCACTGGCATCTGCCAATGGGCGCGACGGCGGCGCCTCACCATGCGCATGCCGCATGCCGAACCGTGAGCGTGGGCGTCGCCAGTGCCCGGCGGTGCTCACCGGCACCGGCATCGCCTCGTCCAGCCAGTGGGCTCCGGAAAGCTGAAAATAGGCCCGCGGGGTTCCACGCGCGCCAGGCACCGGCCTCGGCGCCGGGTGCAGAGAACTGATGACGGATCGTCTGGGTAACCGAGATGGCACGTGCACTGGCTCCAGCCCTTCGCTTCGCGCCCACGACGCGCACGGGCCAGTCGCGTACGCTGACTTCGGCCCAGCGCTCGCCATTGTCTTTAACTAATATTCTTTCGGCGCTGTTAACAAGCTAAATGACTTGTGTGATATAACCCATGGCCAAGCCATTTTGAACGGACGGCTTGACGATATTAATGAAAACTTAAGAAGCCCAGACTCAACATTGGTAACAAGTCGGCGTGTGCATGCCAAATTGGCTTGTGAAAGTGCCAATTATTTTATTCTCCAACACAAGCCAATTCATGCTTCTGACGTGATATACTCAAGGCCAGAACGTCATGTAGATGACACCGAATTCTGCCCATGGATTCCGAAATTCGGCAACATCTGCAAGTTTCAACATATTGCTTAAGTGCTTACTTGGCTTGTGACTTGGAAATTTGAAACATGCCATGCATTTTAAAGTGGCTTGAGCTTGTGGCCAGACTATACAAAGGCCACCAACGACATGCATTTACAACCGATGCATATATAACATTGACTTGTCCCAGGCGTAATATCATATGCATATGTCTATTGCATGCATAAGTAACAAGACACGTCAAATTGGCTTGCACAAATCGACTTGTGATATACCGTGCAAGCCAATTCAGTTACAGAAATGGATTGTGAAAAAGGCGCAGAGGCGCACAGGTGTAGCCGAGTACCGCCGAGGATGACCTGTTGTAGTTCAAATACAGAATGTGATGAAATTATGAAAGAAAAGCCGGACAAGTATTGAACCTGTTTACAGAGTTAGTGAGGTCCCTTGTAGATTCAACAATCAGCAGAGAGTTGGTTGCGCGAGAACCATGTTATGTCGGGCGGCACCGGTGTCGAGCATGTATCAAAAACCTTGCCCACTCGTGTTCTGAATTCATCAGAGTAGAGCAGACAAACAGTATACAAAGTTATAGACAAGGTGCATGCCATTCAGGTTGCATACGAGCCACCAACATCGACATTGTTCACGACAGCGATCAGCAACATTTGATGGCATCAGAGCGTGGCCGAGCACTGTCTAGATGGACTGCATATGCTCTCAGGGCTATTTGAAAACTTACTCCAGAGTTATTGGCATGTTGATTACAGTGTGGAAGTGCACAAGCCAACGCAAGCCCAAGCCCAAGCCCAAGCCAATTTGGTCACCTATTTCAAACTCCGCTGGCTGGCGCAAGCCAATTTGGCAAGCCAGTCGGACAACTCTCTCACGCACCGCCAACGGCAATGCTTTAAATTTGTGTCATTGCTATTACAGTAAACCGCAACTTGAAGCCTGAGGGCAAACCAAAAAAACAAGAACATGAGAGGATGCTCTCGACCTGGGAGTCGAACCCAGCTTCCGCGCGCAACCGAGTACTCGAGTAGAGCAGGCACATTATTGACGCGTGTACTAAACCGATATATTAGTCGAGACTGATTGTACTTTTGTCACGATGATTTATGTCACGGGAACCGGTGCCCTGAGCATGCATCCGATGCGCGTACTTGTGCGTCTGGGGCAGGCGGTGCGTAAGATACATTCCAAAGCTCTAAACAGAAAGTTGTCACTCATGGGGCCAGCACGCACCGTATTGTCGACGTTACTGGTTCCGAGAATCGGTTAGGTTGTAATTCCGCCTGAATGCCATTCCAAGCCTAGCGAGGTTGATCAAATTTGGATCGAACTAGAATTGCCGATGAGCCGACCTCTTGGATCCAGCGGGCCCACTGGCATAGTAACTACGTGTACTTACGGCACTTGGCCGCCCTCGGCGCATCAACCAATGCCATTTTCACTTGCGCACTGTTTTACTGTAATTGCTCGATCTGTATCCCAGCCTGATCCTGCTCAGCGCATGCGCACAGCCCGCACTAGTACGCAGACTTCGGCGCGGCGCTCGCCACTGTGAATGATGGATGATAAAGTGTTGAAGATATCACACTGAGTTGGTGGTAGATAGAAGAGATGATGATTATTGGGAGGCAAAAACTACAGCTTATATACTACTGAGAAGATCTAGAATGTACTACAGGACTATGGAATACTGAGTCATTAGAACAAGAAGGAAACATAGAGAATTGTGTGGAACACTGTCGAAGGTTCGGGGTTAATTCGGGGTAAGCCTAACCCGTGGGAATCAAATCACAACACTCCCCCTCAAGCGCGAGTCATACCGAGGCAGGAGACGAAGTACTCGTGCTTGGACTTGTCGAGAGCCTTGGTAAATAGATCCGCGGTGTTCTCCGAGGTGGGGCAGTAGGAAACTGACACTTCGTGAGAAGTTAGTCTCTCCCGAACAAAATGATGTCGGACGTCGATATGTTTCGAGCGTGCGTGAAATCCAGAGTTCTCGGCGAACGAGATGGTGCCCTGGTTGTCAACAGAGATGTGTGTGGGAAGGGAGGGAGGATGTCCGAGCTCCGTGAGCATATTGCGAAGCCAAAGAGCTTCGCGGACAGCGGAAGCTAAAGCCATGTATTCGGCTTCCATGCTCGATAGCGCGGTGGTTGGTTGCTTCTTGGAACTCCAGGTGACGACTCCCCCTGCAAGTGTGGAGAGGTACCCGGTGACCGAGCGGCGGTCGTCTGGAGAATTTCCCCAGTCGGCATCGGAAAACAACTCAATCACGGAGTAGCGATCCGAGTTGTACTTTATGCCGAGATTGACAGTTCCACAAAGGTATCGGAAGATGCGCTTCACGGCGGTGAGGTGCGCGGGACTAGGATTCAGACTGAATTGAGATACAGTCTGAACTGCGAAGGAAATGTCGGGTCGGGTCGATATGGCGGCGTACATAAGTGAGCCGACCATGTGCTGGTAGACGTGTTTGACGTCGGGGTATGATTCCGAGTCCGGCGTCTTGGTCAATTTAACGTGGGAGTCCATGGGCGTGGAAACGGGGGTGGCGTTGTGCATCTGGAACCGCTCAAGAATTTTTGTGATGTAGTGGGATTGGCTCAGGAAGATTGAACCATTGGTGTCCCGAGAGATTTCCATGCCCAAAAGCTGGCGGATGGGACCAAGCTTCTTGATGTTGAACATGGATTCCAGCTCAGATTCCGCGGCGGCCATGAGCGTGGGAGAGGAGGCGAGCACGGTCATGTCATCGACGTGTACTCCAATGATGATGATGTCGGCGCCGTTGCGCTTGATGTAGACGCATTGGTCCGAGAGGAGTCGGGTGTAGCCGCGGGAGAGGAATGCGGTGTTTAGCTCGAGGTTCCAGACACGGCCTGACTGTTTGAGGCCATAAAGTGCCTTGTTGAGTTTCCAAACATGGGTTGTGCCGTCGTGGTAAAGTTCCGGCTGCTGCATATAGATTTCCTCGTCGAGTTTGCCGTTCAGGTACGCGCCGATCACATCAACGACGTGAATATCAAGGTTGTAGCGCGCGGCAAGGGCAAAGAGAAGCCGGATGGTTTCCATTCGAACGACGGGGGCAAAAGTCCCGTCGTAATCAATCCCAGGAATTTGGGAAAAACCTTTGGCGACAAGCCGGGCTTTGTAGCGCGTAATCACGCCGGTCGCGTCGCGTTTGACGCGGAAGACCCATTTGCAGGCAACTGCCGTCCTGTCTTTGGGTAGCGGGGCATGGGAAAATGTACCGAGAGCACGGAGTTGATCCATCTCGTCGTCCATGGCTTTCTTCCACTCAGTCCAGTCGGGGCGCGACTTGGCCTCGTCGACTGTAAGTGGGTCGTTGGCAATAGGATCAGCAACCGCGGCAAGCGCGTATCCAAGGTGAGCACTGTCCGGTTTGGTGTATTTCCGGGTGCGCGGTCCGAGAATGATATTTTCCTCGGTGATGGCGCTGCTGATATCCCGCGGTGCTTTGCGGGGTGCCGGGGACGTGGGAGTAGGATTAGAGCGAGAGGAGATGGGCGTGAGAGTGCTGAGTCGGGAAGCACTAGAAGCGGGGGGTGACGGCGTAGCTAGGGTAGGCACTGTTGAAGCTGAGGTCGCAGTCGTCGGCGGAGCCTCTTGCTCAATTGGATCCTGAGGGAGCGTGTCCAAAGTCTCCCCCTTGAGCTGAGGCGGAGGCGCGACGTCAGGTGTGCTGTCAAGAAATGTGATGTTCCGGGACGTGAGAACTTGGCGCGTGTTGGGGTTATAATACCGCCATGCGCGAGACTCGTCGGAGAGTCCAACAAAAATACAAGAACGAGTTTTAACTCCAAGTTTGGAGCTCTTGCCGTCCTGCTGCAGAACCTCACAGGGTGTGCCAAATTCCTGGAGTGCAGCGACATCTGGTTTCTTGCCCCAAAAAGCCTCGTCCGGCGTAATTTTGTTGCCGAGCGCACGCGTGGGAGACCGATTTTTTAGGTAAGTGGCGTATGCGACGGCCTCGGGCCAGAGAAACAAGGGGATATTGTGCGCGGCAAGCATGGCACGGGCATGCTCGATGAGAGTGCGGTTGAGCCGCTCAGCAACACCGTTTTGCTGGGGCGAATACGGTGCCGTGAGCTCAAGGCGGATGCCGCGGGAGCGGAGATATTCACGGATGGCCTTGGAAATGTATTCCTTGGCGTTGTCGCAATGGAAAGCTTTGACGCGCTTGCCAGTTTGCGTGAAGATGTACGCGTCGTAGTCGCGCATACGATCTTGAACTTCTGTCCGCTTTTTCATGGTGTAAATTATGGTGCGCCGTGTAGCCCCATCAGTGAAGCTAATGTAATAGCGCTCGCCGTGGATGCCAGTGACACGCGATGGTCCCCAGACATCTGTGAATGCCATGTCACCGATGTTGGTGTACTCGCGTTCAGCCTCGGCTGGAAACGGAGCGACATGGGATTTGGCTTTGATGCAAGCGGCGCATTGGGCAGAGGGGGTGCTGGAGGAATCAATGTTCATTCCTTCAACCATATTGTGGTTCTTCAGCAACTTGATGGATGCTGGAGCAATATGCCCAAAAATGCGATGCCACTTGTCCCAAGAGTGCATGGGAGCGACGGCGGCGAAGACGGGGGTGAATGAAGCGGTTGATGGGGTAGATGCCGGCAGAACGGCGGGTGATGAGGGCGGCGTGCCAGACGGGGGTGCGGCAACAGGCGCAGCTGATGGCGTGGCCGGCATGGCGAGAGTGGTGCGAGAAGTGGATCGGCCGGCAGCAGGTGTGATCTTGACGTGGTACAAGTCACCTATTCTTTTGCCGCGCATGACTTCTTGGCGCTTAGGGCCGGGAGCGTAGACATGCATAAGATCACCGCTAAATTCAACATTGAACCCAGCGGCAGTCATACGGCCGATGGAGATCAGATTATACGGCGAGTCGGGGACGTGGAGAGAGTCCCGAAGGGCGATATTGTAGGCTGAAGTTCCTACGTGGGAAGCGACGGCGGCGTTGCCGGTTCCGTGGCATCGGACACTGCCGAAGCCAGACACGGTGTGATTCCCGACGGCAGGTGTACGACTGGAAGAGCTCCTGCGACCGGAGTATGTGTTTGGTCGCAGCAGAGTCGGCAATCCATGAACCACGGGGAAGAGGCGCGCTGTCTTGCGCCATAAATGCGAAGTCGGTGGTGTCGGAGTTAGATGATGATTGCGCAACGTGCGCCTGATGTTTATTCGCGTGGCGCTGCTTCGACTCCCGAGTATTCTGCTCCTTCTGGGCCGGCGTGTAACTTTTGCCAGCCTTTGCGTCGCGGCAGTCCCCAACCATGTGACCGATCCTGCCGCAGCCGTAGCAGGTGATCTTGGCGTTGAACTTGGACTGTTTGCCGGATTTATATTTGTGGGAGTGGGCCGGAAGCGCTACCTCGTCGGAGAGGGGTTTAGCTTTACGACGGCGGTCCTGCTCAAGAATTCGAGCGACGAGTTTGCTTGATTCTGTCAACGATGCCGTGTCGACCCCGGAGGTAAAGGCGTCCCAGGAGTCCGGCAGTGACGTGAGGATGGTGATCGAGTATTCCTCCTCGGAAAGTTTGATGCCCTGTGCCGCCAACTTGGAACGCAAATTGGTAAGGGCGCGGATGTGCTCCTCCACATTCCCACCTTCCTCGCAGTGGAGGCGTGAGAGTTGGCGGCGGAGCAAGACGATGGCGATGACACCCTTGGGCTGATATGTGTCGGCAAGGGTTTTCCACGCGGACGCGGAAGTGGTTGAGTCGGTGATGTAAACCAATGGGTCGTCCGAGACTCGAAGTCGGATCTGGGAAAGGGCCTGGCGGTCCTTGTGCTCCCAGGCTAGAATGGCGGCGGCGACCGTACCCTGCGGATCAACAATATCCCCGGAAGCATTGACTGTATGCTGGGGGCGTGGGAGGACACCGGTAACATATTCAATGAGTGCCTGATCCGTGAGGATATCCATCATCTTGACGGCCCAAGTGGCGTAGTTCTCCTCGCCGAGGAGATGCTGGATGCGGTATGCGGAAGTGGTGGAGTCCGACATGATTAAATCTGTGATGGGTGGCTGATGTGTGAGTGCGGTGCGAGAGGCGTAGTAGTGTGCTTCGCTGCAGTGACTGTTTGAGCTGTCGGGCTAGGTGATAGTTGATGTGATGTGGATGCGAAGGTTACGGGAGAAGTCAGTTACGGCCGGGGCCCATAACCTGTTGAAGATATCACACTGAGTTGGTGGTAGATAGAAGAGATGATGATTATTGGGAGGCAAAAACTACAGCTTATATACTACTGAGAAGATCTAGAATGTACTACAGGACTATGGAATACTGAGTCATTAGAACAAGAAGGAAACATAGAGAATTGTGTGGAACACTGTCGAAGGTTCGGGGTTAATTCGGGGTAAGCCTAACCCGTGGGAATCAAATCACAACAAAAGGAATGCACGGCCGTGGGCACTGGCCCGGGCCTCAACGTGAACCTCGCGGCGTGCCTCATGGCCAGAGGTCTTATTAATGTAGTATGCCCGACTCGGACGCGGCCAAGTCTTTAATTTGAAGCTGGGCACGCGCATCGAGCCTGAGCAGCTGGCTGCAGGCGCAGCGCCAACGGCAATGCTTTAAATTTGTGTATTCTCATTGCTATTGCAGTAAATCGCAAGGGCAGACGAAAAAAAAAGATTCAGAAGACACTGAAAACTCTCGACCTGGGAGTCGAATCCAGCTTTCGCGCGTAGCCAAAGTAGTCATCATGATATGACAAGCGCGTGTACTAAACCGATATACTAGTCAAGACTGATTGCAGCACTGTCACGAGGATCTATGTCATGGGAACCGGTAGCATGCACTCGATGCGGCGCGTACTTGTCAGCCTGACAATGTACTTGCATTCCAAGGCTCAAAACAGAAAGTTGCCACTCACATTTTGTAGGCACGCACCGCATTAACGTTAACGTTTCTGGTTCCGAGAATCGGTTAGTCTGTAATTGCGCCTGAATGCCATTCCAATCCTACTAGCGAGATTGATGATCGATGATCCCTAGCGATGAAGTTCGGATCGCCTGCAGACCTGTAGTTTGGTCTGCTTCCGTGTTCAAAGCCACAAATTGTCAACATTCTCACGTCCGAACATATGGGCATAGCGAATGCATGATGCATGAGTTCTCGCAAAGTTCTCGTGTTTCCAGGGCTTCAAACTATAACTGTATGTAAGAAAACAACATAGAGCGCAAGCTCTGCCAGCCTGCCAGTGGCTGCCCTGGCAACGCGCGGTCGACGGCAAAATTTCACGTGTGGCGGAATTTGTTGCCATCGTTCCGCACACCGCCTTGGACCGACGGAGTGCCACTAGTCTACGGCGGTTCAACCGTTCAAGCTCAAGCTCAACTGCAGACATCCACTGGCATTTACCAATGGGCGCGACCGCGACGGTGGCGCCTCACCATGCGCATGCCGCATGCCACAACCGTGGGCGTGGCCAGCCTGAGTGCCCGGGGTTCCAGGCACCGGCCATGCCGCCGGGTGCAGAGCCTGACGTATGGGTTACCGAGATAACACTGGCATTCCAGCCGCGCGCGGGCCAGTCGCGTCCGTGTGGTGCAACTGTACGTGGAATCGGCGAAACTTTCAAACTGAGTAGAACTGCCGACGACTCGGAGCCGACTTGGACTTACGGCACTTGGCCGCCCTCGGCGCATCAACCGCGCATCAACCAATGCCAAACTTCTCTATACCACTGGGGAGGGTTAACCGATTGACTTGGCAAATTGACTTGCGCGCCCAGCGGAGTTTGAATTTTGGTGTGTTGACTTGCGTTGACTTGTGCGTGGGCTGACTTGTGCATGGCTCGCTTACACTCACGTCTACCACTATTCATCATTAGGCCTCAGTACAAGACCCTTGGTCCCCTGTGTCGTTTGCTGTCACACGGGAACCTCCCCAGTGAGGCGCCCACGGTTGTCAATGCTGTTTGATGCCATCCAAATGCTTTGCTCGTCGTCTGTCACAGTGCGGAGACTCGTCTGTTTAAGTGCCCATTCCCCTCACATGCTCATTCAACACTGGTGATTTGGGAGTGTGTTGAATGATCTCAGATGGACAGCAAATAAACTAGCCTGTACTGCAGCCAAGTGCTTTTGTAGTTCTACTTCTGGTGCGCCGTTCTGCGTAGGCTTGAGTTCATTTGTGGACTACAGTCAATCCAGCTATACCAGCCTGTCCTACTTTTCCTAAGTCAATTTGCATAGCCGGCTGTTTTGCGGCTTGCCTGAAAGCAGGCTCTTCCTCCAGGATTAATGTGCAAATTAAACTACGAAATACAAGGCAATTTCCCTCTGTCACAAGTCAATCTGCTCAGACCAAGTTAATTTCTTTCTTACTACAAGTCAATTTGTTTCCTCACAAGTCAATCTGCCACCTGCGTGAGTTCGATCGGTTGGAACTTGGAATACATTTATGTGTCTTCGGTGTTGTCCGACCATCGTAAAACTGTGGCATCTTCAAAGATATGACAAGGGGTGCCCTAGACATCCATACTCCTATTTCCATTACTGTGTATTTAACTCAAGTGCGACATTTGTGCGTGGCCCTGGGACTGAGAGTTGACTTGTGCCCCGAAATACTACATGGGTACCGCAAACAGACGCACCAATAATCTGCACCTAGATCTTTTTGGATAGTTTACAAGACCTTCCGTTGGTTTCTGAGCTGCTATAATATTTGTCCATGTACTGAGGTACTTGTTCCTAGGCCATGAGCGAACTTAGGCCCAGGGCAGTGTCACGGTTCAGGTGAAACACGATGAATGTCCAAGGCAACGAGGACAGTCCCTAACCACTGTATCATAGCAAAGGTACACTAGTAATGCTCTAGAATGCATTTGGGAATGTGCCGGAGACCGGACATGTGCCCAAGTTAACGGCGACATTTGTGCGTGGGTCACGTGCCAGGCGACAAATTGACTTGCGCACCCAAAAGTGACGGGCTTCACACATGATCTGTGGATAAGTTTTCCCATTCAATTATTTACTAGAGTCTGTGAAAGCTATTGTACTGCTTCAGAGAAGAAAACTGGCCAAGAGAATCAGTGATGCTTTATATATTTGTGCAAGAACTGAAATTTGCCACCAACGGCTTCCAGGAACCTAGATCTCTTGCCGTCTCGTTTACACGACATACAGTGATTGTTCTATCACCCCATTCACACAAGTCAATGATCGGTGAGGAATACGATGGCGGGCAACCTCGTTAGTGGTATTGATGCTGAAAATGTTGGTGCAGGTCAGCATTGCGTAGTCGGAAAAATCTGAACATTGATATGCAGGGTGCTCAGTAGAGTATAAATACTCCCAGGATGTTACCTTGCCGAATCTAACCTCAGAATGTCGCCAAGCTCACATCCGACGTATGTGCGTGCCAAGCCAACAATTTGACTTGTGCGTGCGACAAATTGACTTGCGCACCAAAATCCACGCACAAGTTAAAACAAGTCAATCCGCGCAGGTGCAAGTTAATTTGGCAAGCTCAAAAGTGAACCCTCTACCACTGGGTCCCTATTTTCACTTGCGCACTGTTTTAATTGCCCGATCTGTATCCCAGCCTGCAGCCACGACGACTCGGATGCCACTGCACCACCCGCACTAGTACGCTGACTTCGGCCCAGCGCTCGCCATATCGGACGATAAGGGATGCACGGCGTGGGCAGTGGGCACCGGCGGCCTCAACGTGAACAATTTTAACAGAAAAAACGACCCTCGCGGTGTGCCTCATGGCCTAATACTTATATGCCCGGCGCGCGTGCCGCGTCCAAGTTTTTACATAATTTGAAGCTGGGCCGCCTGCCAGTGGGCGCGCGCATCATCGCGTGCGCCAGCGCGCAGCGCCAAGGGCAAAATTTGTGTTTTCTCATAATCATTGCTATTATAGTAAATCGTAAGGGCAGACCAAAAAACTTCAGACATTCGATCATACTCTCGACCTGGGAGTCGAACCCAGCTTTCGCGCGTAACCAGAGTTGTCAACATGATGTGACAAGCGCGTGTACTAAACCGATATACTGGTCAAGATTGCTAATACAGTAATTCTCATTGCTATCACAGTAAATCGCAAGGCAGACCAAAAACAGTACATCATGCCTGGAGACTCTCGACCTGGGAGTCGAACCCAGCTTTCGCGCGTAACCAATTTAAAAGACGGCACATGACAAGCGCGTGTACTAAACCGATATACTAGTCGAGACTGAGTGAAGTACTGTGCCGAGGATCATGTCATGGGAAACGGTAGCATGCACCCGACTTGTTGCGTCGGTGCGTAAGATACAATGTGTTGGAAACTGTGGTCATGTGCTGCTCGACCGCTTCGCTACTTATATCTAACATGTACACACATTACGTACCGGGTCTGCAATCTTCGCGTCCCCCCTCCATCTGTGTGCGGGTCTATCCGAGTCCGGGCATTCTATAGCCCATCTGTCTGAGTCTTAGGGCATTCTATCGCCTGTCTATAGGAGTCTTTGGGAGTTCCTGCACGTACAGGAGTCACACATTTTATCAGGTTATGGGCCCCGCGCTCTAGCTTCAATCCACCATCCAATCCGCCTCATCATCACCTCCTCTCACCCGGAATCTTATCTTTCTTCATCCGGAACACGCCAACAACAACTTCTCCCATTTCTGGTCGCTCCTTTCCCCTCGTTCACTGGGCACACTCTTCTAGTCCCAGGTCACATCGGTCACATCGGTCACATCTGTTACATCGGTCACCATCACGACTTCGTTGCTGGTCGTCATTCATTCCAGCTGCTTTTTACCAACTCCGAGCCACATACTACCACTCCAGTGGTGACTTGGATCCCCGTACAGTGTTCGCATCGAGTGGGAGTAGTCACGGAATTTGATCGCGATGCGCTGCTCACACTTCTGGAGATAAAAGGGCAAATTTGTGGGATGGATGATGAATTTTGTTGGCAGCCGACTTGCCGACTTGCCGCTCAATACGTCACAGATACGCTGAAGGATGATGGACTTCCTTGAAGGTTTTTTCTTTGATTGAGTGGGAGCATTTTTTATTCCTCTCCCCTCTTCCTTTCCTTTCCCCCTTCTCTTTTTTATTTTCATTTCAGTGGGAGCTTGCTTATCTCGCAGAGTGGGAGTGTTGGAAACTGTGGTCATGTGCTGCTCGACCGCTTCGCTACTTATATCTAACATGAGGCTGTAGTTCTTACGCAGAATAAATATACTTATGTGGCAACTGTGGTTTGCCTCCGTGTTCTGGATGAGGTTTCCGGGCCTTAGAATTTATTAAACTGGTTTACATGTAGTATAAACCTGTTCTATATAAATGGTCTCGCCAACTGATCAGGTTATCTGGATGTCTGCCGCACCCGCCCTTGCATACTATCTACATCTATTTACATACCTTGCATCTGTACTTACTACCGCATACATATCTCGTATCTATTTCTCTCTCTCTGGGTCGCAGTCTGCGCAAGTTGAACGTGAATGAATGCTGGGTTATTGGTTATGCGCGGGACCCACGATCGGCGTGGCAGTGCCCGACGTGTGGTTCATTAATTTGTTGCCATGGCCACGGCGGTGTCTGCACATGGCACCGAAACTCGTTCCGCACACCGCCTGCCAGTGAACCGATGGTCTAGGCCAGTAAGTATGCAAACGTTCAGATATCCACTGGCATTTTTTGGGCGCGCCGCGACGGCGGCGCCTCAGGCAGGCCGCGCGCCTCGCCGACGCCGCGGGCTTCTGGCGCTTCGCCCTGCCCGCGCGGTACGGCGGCGGCGGCGGCAGTAACCTCACCATGCGCATGCCGCATGCCACAACCGTGGGCGTGGGCGTGGCCAGTGCCCGGCGGTGCGCACCGGCACCGGCATCGCCTCGTCCAGCCACGCCACGCGTGGGCGCCGGGACAGTAAAAAATAGGCCCGCGGGGTTCCACGCGCGCCAGGCACCGGCCTCAGGCTCGGCGCCAAGTGATGATGGAACGTCCGGGTTACCCAGATGGCATTGCAGCCCTTCCGGCGCGCCGCGCCCACGACGCGCACGGGCCAGTCGCGTACGCCGACTTCGGCCCAGCGCTCGCCATTCTCTATTATTCGGACGATAAGGGAATGCACGGAAGTTGGAACCGCAAACGACCCCTCATGTCCAGAGGTCTTAAGCTTTAATTTGAACGTGCGCCAGCCTGAGTAGCTAGCTGCAGGCGCGCCAACGGCAATGCTTTAAATTTGTGTATTCTCATTGCTATTACAGTGCATCGCAAGGGCAGACCCAAAAATCAATGCCACACGCATACTCTCGACCTGGGAGTCGAACCCAGCTTTCGCGCGCAACGTTGAGTCACGGGATGACAAGCGCGTGTACTAACCGATATACTAGTTAAGACTGATTGTAATACTGTCTACGAGGATCTATGTCATGGGAACCCGTAGCATGCACCCGACTTGTACGTCCGGTGCATAAGATACAATGTACATAATACATTCCAAAGCTCTAGTCAGAAAGTTGTCACTCGTGGCGCCAGCTGTTAACGTTACTGCCAGTGGTACCGAGAATCGGTTAGGTTGTAATTCTGCCTGACATTCCAAGCGATCGAGTAGCCGACCCGGCGGGCTCATACGTGTACTTACGGCACTTGGCCGCCCTCGGCGCATCAACCAATGCCAAACTTCTCTATACCAGCGGGTCCCCATTTTCACTTGCGCACTGTTCTACTGTAATTGCTTTGCTCAGCGCACAGCCCGCACTAGTACGCCAGCGCTCGCCACTGTTAATGATTCGGAAGATAAGGGAATACATGGCCATGGGCACCGGTCTCAACGTGAACCGCAAACGACCCTCGCGGCGTGCCTCGTGGCCAGAAGGTACGCGCGTGACGCGTCCAAGTCTTTAATTTGAAGTCATCACGTGCGTCAGCCTAAGCAGCCAGCTGCAGGCGCAGCGCCAACGGCAATGCTTTAAATTTGTGTATTCTCGTTGCTATTACAGTAAATCGTAAGGGCAGGCCAAAAAAACACACTAAAAGGATACTCTCGACCTGGGAGTCGAACCCAGCTTTCGCGCGTAAGCATTTTTTCTTTCGAACCTCCATGACAAGCGCGTGTACTAAACCGATATACTAGTCAAGATTGATGGCAGCACTGTCACGAGGATCTATGTCATGGGGACCAGTTGCGCCAACGGCAATGCTTTAACAGTAAATCGCAAGGGCAGACAAAAAAAAATGGCACCCAGAGGAAGTACTCTCGACCTGGGACTCGAACCCAGCTTTCGCGCGTCACCGGAGTTTGTAGACACATAGCGAGCACGTGTATTAAACCGATATACTAGCCGAGACTTATTGCATCACGAGGATCATGTCATGGCAAACGGTAGCATGCACCCGACTTGTTGCGTCTGGGCGCGTAAGATACAATAATAATCTAGAAAGTTGTCAACTTGTCACTCGTGGCGCCAGCACGCACCGCATTGTTAGTTACTGGTACCGAGAATCAGTTAGGTTGTAATTCCGCCTGCCAGTGAATGCCATTAGGGTGTTTCAAATATCCCAACTTGAGCCCCAACTCGAGCCCCAACTTGAGTCCCAACTTTGGATCAAGTTGAGGCACAAGTTGGAGTTGGGGACCAAGTTGGATGTCAAGTCGAGCCTAACCCCTCGACTTGACATCCAACTTTGTGCCCCAACTTGGTGCCTCAACTTGGTGCCCCAACTTCGGCATTACGGTATGTACTGGCATCTTCTTATGTAATTCCCTGATACCTTACCTGTGTCCCGCCGCCCGCTACTCGTCCGTGCCGCCACCGCCCGCCACCCGCCGCCTGTCCCGCCACCTGCCGCCGCCGCCTTCCCGCCCCCTGCGCCATCTACGCCGCTGCCCGCCGCTACCTACCCCGCCACCCGCCCGCCGCCGCCGCCCTGCCCCCACGTACCCCGCCGCCTACTTAGCCCGCCACGGGCTCACTGCTGCTGCTTGTCCTACTGCCCACCCCATGCGCTGGCGGAGGGGCGGGTGGTGAGACAAGTAGGTGGCTGAGAGCGCGGTGATCGCGTGATCGCCGTGGTGATGACAGCCTGACAGGTGATGGTGCGATGTTGTCAATTGATGACATCAATTGGGGCTGGGCTGAGAGATGCTTCAACCCCAACTTGCAGGAAAACTATACCTAGGTGTTTCACAAACCATAGTCCAACTTGTGCCTCAACTTCAGCCAAGTTGAGGCAAAGTTGGGGCAAAGTTGGGGCTCAAGTTGGGGCTCAAGTTGTGATATTTGAAACACCCTATTCCAAGCCTAGCGAGGTTAATCAAATTCGGATTGCCCGCAGACCTGTAGTTCTTACGCAGATTAATGTACTTATGTGGTGCCACTGGTCGCGAAGCCACAAATTGTCAACGTTCTCACGTCCGAACATATGGGCATAGCGAATTCATGAGTTCTCGTGTTTCCAGGGCTTCGACTTGAATTCGCGAAATTATAACTGTATGTAAGAAAACAACGTAGAGCGCAAGCTCTGCCAGTGAAATTTGGCCGTCGATTCACTGCAATTGTGAAATACCACTGCCAAGGCTAAACCTTAATAGAGAGCCGCGGCGTCGTTACAGTCAGATAGCGATTCCTACGTACATAACCCAGGCTGTGATTACCACCACATTCCGGTAACCGATGCGTGCGGCAACGCAGTCCTTGCCTCGTCCAGGAATTTCGCTACTTCCGAGTCAGCCCTCCTCTCCCCTTGTGATAGCAGCCCACTCAAATATAGGAGGTGCATCGAGAAACAGACACTCTGCAGGGCAGGGAACAGCGCCAGCCACTTAAGTATCCAATGTGCAGTGTCGAAACCAACGGACACCGTAACGGATCGTACACACGAAAGCATTGCGGCGACTTCGCGCGCCTCGGCGCTGAGTGCCTCGAGCTCGTGCTCGGGCACCGGCTGAGTCCTGTACATCTCCAGCTGGATATGTAGGCTCACGTTGTCGCCGGCTCCACGTGCCCCCGCTATGCACCGCAGGTCATGCAGCAGCCAGCCCGTGCTCTGGTGCACACCTCTAGGGAATGAGAACTCGAACGTGTGCAGATGTGGTGATGTAATTAACGCTGGTAGCAGACGCCCCGCAGAGTCCTTGTTATGCACCAAGGTGCTCATGGTCCGAAGTCTGGGGTGTCCAAGAGCAGGTTCAATGAGGGAATGATGTGGACCTTCTCTGCTGGATCCTTCATAGACCATCTCTTCAAGACCACGAAGGCGAGAAAGGAAGCTGTGTAGAACACTGGGCTCTACGGTGTCCGTACAGAGATGGAATGAGATAAGTGCTGGGAGGTTGATGTGCGCCAAGAGTGCGTTCAGGTGGTGGCCCTCGAGCTGATGCCCAAGGGATAGACGCGTGAGTTTGTGCTCGTTGAGTATGAAAATGCTGAACGACCGCAGAGAGGCAGAATCGCCTTTGGTTACCAAGTGCAAGGTGGCGGAGTGCAGTTCACGGAGGGTTGTCACGGTGCCAATACGACCACTGTGGTACCGGATTGTGGTGTAGCCTTCCCTTGGGTGTCCGTCGGTGATCTTGCGCCGGACAGGAGCCGATAACAGCCTACGCACTCGCGAAGGGGAGTTGAACTGAAAATGATCCAGCTTCCAGTGGGCGATGTCCTTTGAGCGACAACTGAATATCTGTCCTGGGAAAACAACGAAAACGGGTCCGCGAACACGTTTAGCAGCCTGAGAGAGCATGCAACACAATGTGCGAATGACAGGTTTGTGTGCGTGGGGAGCCAGTAGGAACAAATCCCCACCAAACGAGAGAGTGATATCTCGCAGGTCCCTAGATCTGGCGATTATATCCTGTATGCTTCTGAATTGTTGTTGGATTTTGGGCGTCTCGATTTCACAGTGCAATTGCTGAACGGGCATGGTACGGACTGGAAAGCAGAGCGCGAGGCCTCGCAGAATATGTGAGGAAAGAAAAACTTGGGTTTGTGAAAGAGTTTCGTATGTGCAGTGCTTCCGCTGAAGATACATGCGAACGCAGAGCTCCGCAAAGGTCCGGCACACGCTGGCAATGGTGAGGAGGTCTTCGTCAGGAATCACCCAGTTGAAGATGCTCTCCCACATCTCTATCGGCAACATGTCCTGCGGAGTGGGGCCAGGCTTGGTAGCACCGCCTGTCGGTGGTTTTCTCCGGCAAAAGAGGGAGGTACGACGGAGAGCCATGAGTGTCGAGAACAAGCTGATTGGCAGGCACAGCATCGTGATAGATTACTTTCCCGCGATGTATACATAGTGATTCTATAACTTGTCACTCCGTAATATGCGTGCATTTAGCCAGCACATTTATTACGCTGAATTCGTGAGATCTCGTATATTTAGGGCTTCAAACTATAACCAACGTACTGACCGTGACGTCGTCACTCTACAAAATAGGTTGCCGTTATATGAATACACGTAAGACATTTGCTTGCTTGAGTTATAGCCCTGGCAGTAATACACCTCTCTTCAAATGCCTTGCAGTCGGCCTGGGCGAAATCAATTTCGAGTTGAACTTGGTTGTTGCATATATCACGTGAACCTGATGCATGTTCGGCGCCAAAGCCTAAACTGCAGTTATGGATACAATTTTCAAGTCGAGATTTATTGGGGTGAATCTTTCGGCCTGCATGCACAGTGTCGACATTGGATCGTTAATTCGACTTGAAACCCCTTAAAACCCAAATTTACTAGTGACATAGTACATGCATATAAACGTCGATTCCGATGTCAACAGAGCGATTCATGGGCGTAGTTACAGTTTTCAGGTGCATGACTATCCAGGGATCCGAATACTGAGCTCGAGACCATGCACATGAAGTACGACAGCTTACCCCGAAAGAACAGGTGTGACCCGTGCAGCAGGGCGGAAGCACGCCAATGTTATCGCATGAAGCGCCCTTCGAGCCGCAGGTGACGCAGGTCTGGATATTCCGTGGATTAGCATCGTAAGGTCCAGGAAAAGAACAGTATACGAACGCCGAAAGAGCAGATCAACGGCAAGCAGCAGGGCCCGATGACGTTTATGGTGTCGCAGGAATGCCCCAGGGTGTTGCATGTAGCACGTTCATCGACGTCCACGAGCGTAGCGCCGTTAGCCGCAATGGCAGCGAGAGCAGTAGCAAGGAGTGCGCCGAATACGAGTTGCATGTTGTGGCTGCCATTGGTTCAACATGACGAAGCTCTTATATTTCAAAACTCGGCGTGAGACGACATGCAGCAGACGCACCTGCCCTGATATAAATCTGGCAGATAATCTGTCAGTAGTGGTTTTCGGTCGTAAGCGTGCCAGTGTGCCGGTGGCCTCGTGCAGTGTAAAATATATCCGAGAAGTCTCATCAATGATCTCGAGGAATTTCCAGGAACTGTCAGGATCGACTTCTGAATTAAGAAGAAAATCGGATATCAAAGTCTTTGGCTTGGCAAGGCTTCTTGACATGTGCGATGTGCGGGGAATTCGGCCATCCCGGCCGACACTACGATATTGCGTCAGGAACATTCGAATTGGGGAAGAGCGGAATGGCGTCGTGCAAAGCCAGGATGGAAAGCCCTGGGTTGAAAAACTCAGGCTGTGATCGCCTTGACCAATCGCATGTATAGAAGTTCGATGCGTCGATTGTTCAGTAGTTCACCATACTAGTAGTCCACATGACCACTGGCTCCGCTTTCTTTGTAGCGCATGTGTTCAGCAACATACCACGAAAGTCAGGAACTGAAAGAAGTCATGTGCTTGCTTAAAGGTTTTGTTGCGTTGCACGCGGTCGTCAGTAGTATGTACTGAAAGAGTAAATTTGTTGACCGCCTTAAATACATGTTCTTGTTCAGCTGTCTTACTTCCCCAAAACGCATTGCTCGCCAACTGTTTCATTCCTAGAATAAATCAAGACCAAAATACTGTACAGAGTCACAATGAGATAAGATTACAAGGCTCTCTGCAATTCAATGTCAGGGATCTCTTTGGGTATTCGGGGTGGCGTAGACTGCAGCAACAAGCTACGATCCCATGTGTCCCAACGATGGGGCGATGTAGCGTGGCAGTGCCGCCAACAGTGCGAGACGGTTTGCAGGTCGGGAAGCTCCTGCATCAGCCGATAGGCACCATATGCCGGAGGTCCTCTGTCCAGGCTATCCCAGAAGATATCAAAAGACACCTTGAGATGGCGGAGACACTGGATGAGTCGAAGGGCCTCTAAAAAATCTTTCTAGATGCCTATCAGCAACAAAGACTCCTGCTTTCAATCGAACTCACCTCAGGGAATTCCACGAGGTAAAGGTCGTTTGGTAACCACATTGAGGATCCCAAATGCAGACATCG